CCTCTGCATGTCGTCTCGGTTCCGAAAATATCCATATCGTTGGCTATTTGACAGATTTTCACAAAACCGGAAGCCGCCATCTTGGATTTCAAAATGGCATGAATGATCGATTTCCGGCCTCTGCATGTCGTCTCGGTTCCGAAAATATCCATATCGTTGGCTATTTGACAGATTTTCACAAAACCGGTAGCCGCCATCTTGGATTTCAAAATGGCATGAATGATCGATTTCCGGCCTCTGCATGTCGTCTCGGTTCCGAAAATATCCATATCGTTGGCTATTTGACAGATTTTCACAAAACCGGAAGCCGCCATCTTGGATTTCAAAATGGCATGAATGATCGATTTCCGGCCTCTGCATGTCGTCTCGGTTCCGAAAATATCCATATCGTTGGCTATTTGACAGTTTTTCACAAAACCGGAAGCCGCCATCTTGGATTCCAAAATGGCATGAATGATCGATTTCCGGCCTCTGCATGTCGTCTCGGTTCCGAAAATATCCATATCGTTGGCTATTTGACAGTTTTTCACAAAACCGGAAGCCGCCATCTTGGATTTCAAAATGGCATGAATCATCGATTTCCGGCCTCTACACGTCTAGATTATACCATGCAAGAGTGGAAATGGCTGAATTCCAACACAAACCTGGTTCATTGTCTGGCTTTGTGGAAGCCAGCTGCTTTCAAGATGGTTAGGATTTACAAATGAGAGAAAATTCCGTAATGGTGTGATCAAAGCATTCGGAAGGTCTTTACCTCCAGAAGAACTTTATCATGAACGAATATGTTCTAGGTGATCATGACTTACAAGTACCGAATAAAATTCCATGCACACTGCTCAGTTTTTTTGTTATGATGAATTTTGAAATAACACGGGTTTATCACACGGTTTTGTGAAACACATGGTCTTTTTTTACACGGTTTTTTGAAACAACGCGGTTTTTTTTTACACGGTTTTTTGAAACAACGCGGTTTTTTTTTACACGGTTTTTTGAAACAACGCGGTTTTTTTTTACGCGGTTTTTTGAAACAACGCGGTTTTTTTTTACACGGTTTTTTTTTACGCGGTACGTATCCCCCGTGTAAAAAAAGACTTGAGTGTACTTCGACGCCGATGGTTAAAAATACCAAACTGATTATTATGGTCCAAGCTTTAAAGAATATGATAGAGAGTGTATCTAACTACAAGAAACCTATTTTATTTAAATATGCATTGCAAACTATTGGGACAGTGCTCGATAATTTTGTTGGATGCAATATTGTTCGGATGCGTTCACACTTTTTCGACATGATGATTAGATTTGACGTTTGATTTGTCGAACGAAAAAGGTTTGTGTTTAATTTTTATTCGACTCATTCAGCAAAATAGCCGCAATTAAGCTGAAAATATTAATTTTTTTTTCTAAAATTTCACGGATTTGAACTGCTAAAGAACGCTTGGTTTGTGTTTTGATGGCATCCAGCAGCAAGGTAAACCGATTTCACTATTCAATTTGTCGTGTGTATGATTTGACTGATTTTTATATTGGCCGAAAGATGCCGTAATGGCTTTGATCATGGCAAGGTCAACAAAACAGCATGTTTTATATAAGAATAAGCATGCCAGACAGTAGGTCTGAGAGCCTGCTAAGATTTTTTTAGAGCTTCAGAGAGGTTCGGAGATGTACTGAGAAATTTGTTGAGCTTCAGGGTAGTTCGTAGATCTTGAGAACAGAACAACAAAACTACAGAAAATTTTACAGAAATTTAAAGAAATTCGCAGAACTTTAGACAAGTCCAAAAATCTAAGCTCCAAAACAAAGCTACAGAGCTTTGAAAAAATTACAGAACTTCTGTAAAAAATCACAAGAATGGTCATAGATCTTCAGGTAAATTTAAAGGCCTTCAAGAAAGTGTGCAGATTTTATGATACATTTTTAAAATCACAGAAATTTCAATGGATCTTCAGGGAAGTTCGGCGATTTAAAAAAAAATATTTATACGATTTCAGGGAAACTTGTAAATCTTGAGAGAAATATTTAAAACTTCAAGGAACCTCACATGTTAGATAAATTATGAAAACTTTAGGTAATTTCGAAGATCTTCAGAGAAATTTTCAGATCTTCAGGGTAGCCCGAGATCTACTGAGAAATTTATTGAGGCTCAAGGTAATTCGTAGAACTTGAGAATAGAACTACGGAGCTTCAGAAAACTTTACAGAACTTTAAAGGTATTTGCAGAACTTCAGAAGAGTATCTTTCTTTGATTTGTTTTCCGTCGATCTTGCTTTCCGTGCTGAACACCAATGCTACCGACGCCAGGATGGCAGCTCCCATACCTGGACCCTACCTATCGACCCATCAACTCATGAGCCGGGGACCAACGGCTTTACTTCCCTTCCAAAGGAAGGCGTCATCAGAGATGTTATGCCTCAGAACATCCCGGCGGCGCCGACTAGGATTGAACCCAGGCCTGCTGAGGTGAGAGGTAATCATGCTTACCACTACACCACCGGCGCCGCTATCTTCAGAAGAGTAGATATTAAATAAAATCTGCAGACCTGCAAGGAATTTTGCAGATATTCAGAGACATTCAGTGGTTCAGAAAGCTTCACAGTTTCAGAAAGAATTGAGATCTTCAGAAAAATTAAAAAAATTTCAGAAAAATACTTCAATTCCAAAAACAAATCTAAGCCATGTACGAAAGTCCACGATTTTCAGGAAGTTGTAAATAGATCTGAAGAACTTCAGAGCTGTCCGTAGACCTTAAGAGAAGTATGTAGAACTTCAGGATGTTCGTACATTTTTAGAAAAATTTGCATAACTTCAGCAAAACTCACAAAACTTCGGGAATGTTCGCCGATCTTTAGAAGTATTTACACAACTTCAGAGAAATTCGTAAATCTTCGAAGAAATTTTTAAAACTTCAGCGAAGTTCAAATATGTTCAGATAATTTTTAGAGCTTTGGGGAATTTCAAATAATTTCAGATAAATATGCAGAACTTTATGGAAGTCCAAGAATCCACAAATAAATTTATAGAACTTTAGAGAAGTTCGAAGATCTACTGGGAAATTTACTGAACTTCAGGGCAGTTCGTAGATCTTTAGAGCAGAAATACAGTACTTTAGAAAACCTAACAGATTTTTTATGAAATTTTGAAATCTTCAGAAAAGTTCAGAGGGTAGATCGTAAATTTACAGAAAAATCTGCACATTTTTATATAAATTTTCAGAATTTGATTGAGGTTCTCGGATTTTAGACCTCCGAAGGTCTTCAGAGAAATATGCAGAACTGAGTTCTTAACAGGAATGTTCAGAACTCAAGGAATCATGTAGATCTATCGAGAACTTTTCCCACTAGCTTGTGGAAAGTTGGTATCGACATTCTGGGGAAATTTTTGAAATCCTTTTTCGTGTTCATATCGCAGTTCTTGAAAGGCAAGATGAGCCAGATCCCTGGCAGTGATCCTCCAGAGCAACCATTTCCTACTCTACAAAGTTCACCTTCTCCTTCTCATTTTATTCAAAATGATAAAAGCAAATACGCCTGCCGAAGCTAGAGCAATTTGCCGATAATTCATTATGGAAGTATTTACTTTTGATTGCTGATACAGTTTTGTTTTGAAATCCAAATTGACAGTTCTTTCGACATGTGCAAGCAGTGCGAACACCACTTCGGTGGCAGAAACGTCATCCACCACCATTTTGCTTGAAGCCAAAGTTGTTGGTTCTTTAGCTCGATTATCGGCCAATCAGATTTGAATAAAATGCTTCATTTGCAAAATAAAAGCATAGGAGAAATGTATGTAATGTCGGCTTAAATGCCTCTATTTTGAGCCCATACATAAATTCAGTAATAGACTAAATCTTCAATAGCGACCAAAAATATCCATTAGTACCGTCCCAATGACGCGTTCATCTAGATAAAATTGATAAGTAGCAGATTTTTAGCGATGGGCCCAATCTTAGATCCATACGCCAACATTAGAGCCATTTCCCCGTTTAAAAAATCAAAAAAAATGTACTTATGCGTAGGTGCTAGACCAGACCTTTCGTCACGTTTCTCCTATACCTAATGCACTGATTATCGTATCACCACCCCCCTCTCCCGAGGAAAGCTGGAGATCAAATTGAAACCAAAATTTGCTGCTTATGATGTAGCTTATTTTGAATACTCCAGTTGATCTCATTTTGGTTGCCTTAACGGTTAACACAGCAAAAGAGAGCAAAATTTTACACTTTTGAAGCAAACGGAAAACTAATCCTGCTTTCAATTAAATCAATTTGATTATTGATTTTGCATTGCAATGTTTAACTGAATACGGGCCTGGTGTAAATGATTAGCAATCATACTTTTCACGCTGAAAGGCTTGAGCTCAAATATCACCCCGGGCAAGTCAAGCATGACCTAAAATGTGTTAAACAAAACAAATAAACAATGATCATATAGTTCAACGACAGATGAACATTATATTTTAAACAAGACGTTAACAGCAGAACTTCAAGTGTAGTTGCATTCATTTAAAAAGTCTTGACTGCATAATGATAGAACAATATGATATCAGACTTATGTCGCGACAATTGAAATCAAAATGAGTTTTCATTATGATAAGAACTGCACATTTTGATATCGATTTGAACCGACTTTGCGCCCCCCTCCCCAACCCTTCCTTCTTAGAGCGTGACATATATGAATCACACCACATAGGCAAAGGAATATAACGCTATTTCAATGTTGAAGCATCATTAATGATCAAACTTTTCAGGTATGTCTTGCCGTTCAGAATATGGACCTGTTCTGGTATGGTGCTTGCACGGTACATCGTCCATAATAAACCGAAGAGCGGGACAGGGAATGCGTAAGGCATCCAGCTTAAATGCGTTACGGCTCTTCGTGAAATAGGTTATCATTTGAAACATCGAAGGGATAAGAAGCAATCTCATAATCTCTATCGTTATCATCATACGCTAATCAAGGGACTTTCGGAAAATTTATATTATTATTTTTATGCTTACATTATGTCTTCTTTATTGTAATAAGTCTTGTACTCAAAATGTAAGTAAACCAAAAACAAATCCTAACAAAAAAGAACCCACGATGAGGATGGAATCAAAAATAAAAGTATTTAAAAATATCAACCTAATTGTCTGTAGAACTTTTTCTACTAATTGCTAAAAAATAATATACGTGTATGGTGAATGCCTTCTAACGTAAATTGCTTCATCCACTATCTAATCATCATGTAACATAAAACCAGACTTACATCAAGTGATGATTTGTTTTCAGGGTTCTTACTATATGGCGGAATGTTTACATCTAAATAGCGTCTCCTGATAGCCCTCACCTCAGTAATGCTTTGAGGATTTTCTAGATCCCGCAGCAGAACCCGAAGGTGTCCCGATACGTATGGTACCACTCTCGTCGCCACCGCCGCCCGTGATGGTGTGTTTGGTCATGCTGTCCGTTTGGAAAACCACTTTCAGTACGTGATCCAGTAAGACAAGCAAAAGGCGTGTGTTCAATTTTTTGTTTTGCAACATTTGGAAAAAGTTCAGTAGCCCGGAATTGCACGTCACTGATCCGACGACGTGTTTCAGGTCGTCGGAGAGCAGTGCGAAAAGGGAAATCTTGGCGGCTAGTTTGGTTCGCAGTTTGGTACTATCTTCCCGGAGCGGTGGATTAGGATTAAACCGGTCGCCGTCAGGCCATACGTTGTTCCTAAGGTGAATGCGGTTGTTTAGTGATAATGATTTGCTTTGGAAACCGAAATGAACTTACAAAACAGCTGACAATACGGTTTCTACCTTATCCATTGCTAGGAGGGAACCAGCAAGTTGTATAATTTTTTTGTTCGTCGCATGACTGACCCATGGGGCACCAAGCAGACGATTGATCAAGCCTCTACGCAGCCATTGTGATTTGTTCTGCAGGTCAAACACTTCGTCCAACAGGTCCAACGCCGATGCCAGGGCAGGATACTCGGATTGCTTCAATTCCAGCGTTGGTATGTCTTGAATATCGTAGAAAGTTCGTTCCTTCAAAGGTCCCTTGCCGAGGAATATTCGCGAAATACCACCGACCAGAGTGTCTGGCATGTTTCGTATTTTGCTCATACCGGATTTGAAGCTTTCAATCTACAAGAGGAATAGAATCAACCATATGGCCAAAAATCCTTCACATTTACACTTACCGTTTTTACCACAGCTCCACCGTGCATCCTACGATCATCCGTATCAGGTTCCAAGAAGTTTCTCACAATAACACGCATCTCCTCGTTCTGTTCCGCTTTGGCACAGATTTCTTCTAGGAAGTGATTCAGAATTTCCATCCGATGCTCTAGCACAGCTCGTTGAGTATTCTGAAATGCTTTCTTGGCTGGAAATGGGACCTTCGATAGGGACGGAAATCGTTTGACCAGGAACTTTTTTAGCTCCAAGAATTTAGAGTATCGCCGATAGATGTGCCAGCTCTTTTGCTGGTTATCTTCGATGACCTGCACCTGAACCGCATAGACGGCGTACTGCCCTTCGTAAAGGATTGCCGTGTTGATAATTCTGGCCGAAAGTTTCTGCTTTAATGCGAGTGAGTCTTCAGATTTGTTATCGATGAGAATTTCTACCGGTGGTTGGGGTAGATTTCCATCTGTAGATGATACCGATGGAGATGGACCAGATGGCATAGCGAGTTCGTTGGCAGAATCATTGCTTGAGCAATCCGATGACTTCAACTGATCGACGTTGAAATCGGTGATTTGAGAATACATTCCAGTACAGTCGCTGTGCGAGCGAGCATGCTTTATGCTTGCTACCGTTGGAAGCAGATTGGATTTAGTATTTTGAATTGAACTTGCTCGAATATCGTGTTCTTCCTTGATATCACTGTGGAATAGCCCACTCGGTGGTCCGGGCACCGCATCATCGTCGTCCGTTTCGTCGAACCGGATATCGCCAGAGTTGGAATCACTGAGACTGTCCAGTTGACTTGAGATACCCAAATGGTCCAGTGATGGCATTTCATGGTCCTGGGTGTTGTTGAAATCCAACTCTCGTAGCAGTTGCTTGTATGCCGAACTTTGATAGAAATTGTTCAAAAATACTTCCTCGTTCTTCTGCTTCTCGTACACGTATTTGCAAATCGAATCGAACCAAGTATTCTCCGGCATGATGGTGGTATCTTTAACACGTATGCCGAGTGCCTCGATCAATCCGGGATCAATGTTGAGGTAATTTGCAGATGTAGGGACCAAATACTGCAAAGAAGAAAACAAAATCGGTTCATATTTATTACTCAAATCCTTATTGTTGGAAAATTTTCAGAAGCTCCAAGCTGATTGACATTCTGTACCAGTGTGAATGGTGTTCCTAACGGGTGGCAACTAAAATTTTGGAATTTTTTCGAGGTTTCTATGCTCAACAATAAACGAGCTCAGAGAGAAATAAGAGTGTGTATGTGTTAGCTCTCTCTCTCCTCTTTCTGCTAGTATTTTTTGTTTTGTTTATGCTTGCTCAGTTTTGCTCAAAATACCGTCGAAACAAGAAGTATTTCACGAGCGCGTTGTACAGTTCTACGAACTGCACAGAAATCTCGGCAAAAAGTATACGGTACAACATTTTAAAAGCGAAAATGTTGCGGCTTCGACTGTTTACCATATCGCAAGCAAGGTAGTGGAAGACCAGCCAAAATTATGGACGCAAAAGGACGAGAAAGGCATTTCTAAGCCATGGTTCAAGCCCTCTGGTTTGGCAATCAATCAATATGTGTACCAGAACGAATGTTTGAAGAAAATTTTGATCCCGTTTCTACAAATACATCATGCTGATGGACAATACGTGTTTTGGCCGGATAAAGCGTCATCGCATTACGCCAAAAAAACACAATCGTTCCTGAATACCCATTCGATCCCATTTGTACCCAAAAACCACAACCCGACAAATCTGCCTCAGTGTCGCCCAATCGAAGATTTCTTCGGGGTTTTGAGCTCCTTGATGTACAAAAATAACTGGAGAGCCACGAATTGCAAACAGTTGATTGGTAGAATCAAGAGATGCATTCGCAAAGTTGACATGAAGGCTGTACAACGCTCCTGTTCCGACATCAAACGGAAGCTTCGCCGAACATCCGATTACGGACCGTTTTCAAATGTTCACTAATTTTTTTTCAACAATGGACAATGTATCTTTAATTTCAATAAATCAGATCTTCTTCAAGTATGTTTGTCTTTTTTTTTGACAGCTTGAGAAAGAAATTCCAAAATTTTAGTTGCCACCCGTTATGCAGCATTATAGAAACTTCTGTCCAAATGAAGTCTTACAAAAATTGTATAAAATCATCGAAAATCGAAATTATTTATAATAATGCTGAACATATAAAAGACTACAAAAAAGGAGCACAGTTTAGAACTTTTTATAACTGGTAAAGGCGCATAAAATGCTCAGAAAAGGTTATTGTGTGTACGTGAAGATTCAAGTTAAAGAACTCGTCAGCTAAGAAAGTCCTGGAAGTCAACAATCTTTTCGGAAAATGAGGAGAATCGCATTGATTTTTCGACCAACAAAAGCTGAATTTCCCATCTACTTAACATCAGTTGAGGGCTACCTTGAAGAATTTCATGCAAATCTCTCAGAAAAAATGCTTTCGCAGAAGGCTTTTCCGATCGGGATTCAACGGGTTGAATCTATGGTTGCCTTCGGTCTGCATCAGCTCAACATCCTGCTTAACTTGAATGGTCGTACACTTGATTTGGCGTTTGTAAACGAACCAAACCTTGTTGAGCTCATCGAACCTCTGTAATCGCTCTTCAGAATCGACAGCCATCATAAGCCGTGTGTTCTTCGCATCGACGTGAACGACTTCTACGCTACATGCAACTTGCCAGTGACCCAAACATCGTCAATGATTTTGATTTCCGACGTTGCAGCTTTCCAGAATTGAACAGCGCTATCATGAACGTCGATTGGATTGAAATGTTTCGTGCAACAAATACGGGAGAAATGGTACGTATGTGTTATGAGAAATTGTACAACATTCTGGAGGAACTTGATTCCACACAGACGAAGAAGACCTTATTCGTTCAAGCATCCGTGGTAGACATCTGAGTTACAGCATCTCCATACCGTCGTGCGTAAAGCTAGAAAACGCTATTTTAGAGCTCGAGAACCGGATCAATCTACATTCGCTCGAAACAGATTACAGCGATTGCTACATAGCTACATTCCGTAGCTACATCAGACGAATGGAGCTGACCGCGAAGCAAGACCCGTCATCATTTTGGTCGTTCATACGTAGCCGTAAGCAATCCAATCGTATTCCTGCCGAGATGACTTTCAAGAATTCCTCTGCTAGCTAATCTTTTTGCCGAATTTTTCGAGAATGTGCACAGTACAACATCGCCGACATTCTCTCCTGACAGTGTAAGAACCTGCCCTGCCACCTCTAGTTGTGAGCCAGAACGAAATATGTTTAGCTTTGCAAAAGTTAGACGTTTTGAAAGGGCCTGGCACGGACAACATACCGCCATTGTTTTTAAGAGAATGTGCTGGTTCACTGCTGACACTGCTGACGATTATGTTTAACAGGTCACTCAGTGAAAGTACTTTTCCCGAAGCGTGGAAGTTAGCCTCGATCACCCCGATCTTCAAAGCTGGTAACAATCATGCTGTTGAAAATTACAGAGGTGTTTCGATTTTATGTTGTCTAGCTTAAGTGTTCGAACAATTGGTTCACAAAGCTCTGTATGTCACCTCCCGAGCGCTGATATCGGACTTTCAACATGGATTTGTTAAGAAGCGATCTACGATGACGAACCTGATGTCCTACGTAAGCTTCCTGTCTTCAGAAATCGAGAATCGGCACCAAATACACCACATACTTTGATTTCTCGATGGCGTTTGACAAGGTTCTTCATGACCTCGCAATTGACAAATTCAAGCATCTGGGCTTTTCAAATTGGATCACCGAATGACTGCGCTCTTACCTATCCGGTCGGAGGGCATTCGTCAAATTAAACGGTACTCGCTCCCGCGATTTTTCGATCACGTCAGGTGTCCCACAAGGAAGCATTCTGGGACATGGTGCTTTCGGCTGAAATCGAGCCTACTGCTTTACGCTGACGATCTAAAAATATACAAAGTGATATCATCGCACCTCGACTGCTGTGGTCTTCAAACCGATGTTGACGAGCTTCTGGGATGGTGCTGTGAGAATGGAATGGAGCTTAACACCAAAGAGTGCAAACTCATTTCGTTTTCTCGCCGACAACCCCGAACAGAGTTTGAATACTTCATCAGCTTAGAGGCTATAGAACGTGTTCAAGCAATACGTAACCTAGGGGTCACTGTGGACAGTAAACTCCGGTTAAACGAGCATGTCAGCATAATTATCGCAAAGGCCTTTGCGGCCCTGGGATTTATTCGTCGCAATACCAGTGGCTTAACCGATAGATGATGCTCTCAAGGCACTGTACTGTTCAATTGTTCGCAGCATCATGGAATATGCTGTTAGTGTATGGTTCCATATCATGCACAGCAGATCATCAAAATGGAAAGGGTTCAACGTAGCTTTATACGGTATGCTCTTCGACAACTTCCGTGGAATGGATCCAGTAATTCCTGACTATACAAGCCGTTGCAGACTTATAAACATGGAAACTCTAGCTCACAACCGCCCAAACCTCAGAGGTTATATATATTCGATCTTGTCAAGGGTAACCTGGATTGCCCTTCACTGCTGCAGAATATTAACTTTTATGCAACTTCGGCTTCGTCAACGAGACTTATTTTTAGTCAGGCGGCATAGAACCACGTACGACGTATCAACCTTATGGAAAATTGTGTTAGTGCTGTCTTTGATATTAATTTGTCCAAGCTTGTATTCAAAAGTAGAATTAGGAACTTAGGTTAAGAATCAGTATGTGGAGTTTTTATAAATTCGAGACGAAGAACAAATAAATAGGTACCTAAATAAAACATCGAGCGCTCAGAATATGGAACGCATGGTCGCTTTTTTAAATGTTTTTTTTCTAAATACAAGTAAATTAATAATGCATTTAGATTTATTTTATACAAATACTGAAATGTTCTACAAAAATATTTTTTTTTAAATAGCAAACTTGTTATCATTCAGATCCGATTACTTTGAGATCTTCTTAACCGTTCAGCATATGGTGCTTGCACGATAAATTAACAAATTCTTGCGTTCAGAATCATAAGGGCCTAACTGCGATGATCGATTCTCTTCATCGATTTTATCTTTTGTTAATAATCGCCGTTAGCATTTATCGGTTAATTTGATGTTGTTTTGGCTAATTAGTACAATCTTTTACTTGACTGCATTGGAATAATTTCGGAAAATTGGTTCACTAGACTGTGGTAATGCGAAGAGAAAATAAATCATCGCAGTTAGGCCCTTATGATTCTAAACGCTAGAATTTTCAACTTACCTCTTGATAAATATTATATGCTTTATCTCGTATAATGCGCATTACCTCATCCCGGGTATACTTGGACTTATTTATTTGTATGTCAGAGAAGCTCTGACTCGTTGTAAGTTTCCACTCTGAAAAAAATATATCTATTTAATCAACCACTCCCAACTACAATTCCCGCCACAAACCTTGAGCAGTTAAGTAAAATATCACATATTTTTGCAAATTCAACACACTGAGGTAATCCAAATAGTACGAAACGGCCAGCTCCTTGCGCAGGATATCATCCAGTCTAAGCAATGGCAAATTGGACGACGTCTTCTCTTTCTCACTCTTGCCCAAATCGGTCTTGTTGTTCTGCAGGTGACTGATTCTCAAGTCGATCAGCTTCTGCGTGTATTTGAGACTGGCCAGCTCGGAGCTGTAGGTTGCATCTTTATGCTTGGCGTCCATTTCTTTGGTAATTAGCTGCCGACAGGCTCGTAGTTCCGACAGATCGTGCGACTGACGGATCATCTTCAGCAGAAATTCTCCGCTTGGGGGATCTTTGGTAAAGTGCTTGGCTATTTGTAGATTGATAAAGTCCGGATCGGTAAGAGTGCTAACCATCGGTTTGAGGATACTGTTCGCCAGAATGTTACAAAGCAATGCTCGCAACGTCAGGCAGTTGAAATCTTCCTCCGGCAGGGTGAAGTATAATACAGTTTCAGCGATGCGCTTGAAGTATTCTGGAATTATAGGAAATCAAAACTAATTTTCGAAAACCTATCAGTTAACCGCACACTAACCTAGCATTGCTTCCTCGTCCATACATTCTTGTTTGTACTCGTCACAAAACCCGAAGAACGAGCTCAGCAGCATAACTTCTGGGTCAAGCAACGATTGTTCGTCAGCTTGCCCACCGTAAAACTTTGAATTGGCTACGTTCTTCTGCAGAGCTGCATTCCCCAAGTGCCACGTAAGATCGGTTTCGCTTTTGTTCCTTCGATGTCCGTTTCCCCGTTGGTTCTTTTTCTGGGGAGAAAGCTTCTCGTGGATCTTCATTCGCTTCTGATCACTCCCATTCACTTGTTTGCTACTGTTATCCTGCGTGGCGAGCCGGTAGAACCTTGTATGACGTGCCAAATCATCGATCAGCTTGGTCGTCATCAGGGGAAGCAGTTCGGCAGATTTGATTCGTTGGCACACTTTGAAAACCAGCGATTCGATGCTGGTTCGTATGTTGGAATCGCTAAACTCGCGATTGTCCGAGACGACCGTGTACCAAGAGTCGATGAAATCTCTCAGCACGTAATCCACGATAGTGTGAATCAGTTTGTCGACCGCTTTGTTTCCGCTGAGAATTTTCTTTTTCTTCGGTGATCCAGGAGGGGAATCCCGATGCAGAAGGATCTCCGGGTGAGCGATGTAGGATTTGAACGAAGCCAGCGGTGACGAGCTCGAGCTGGCGGTTACTTCTTCTCCCACCTGAACGGCACCTACTGGAAGATGCAAATGAAACACTGTCAATTCTTATATACGGGTATTTTCATTCCCTAAATCTGCAAGAAGGAAATTAATACCATCATCATCAGAAGAAGATTACAACGTTCACAGGGAGTACTCATTTCTGGTAAAAAGTGTAGTTAATCTGAGTCCAGGCATAATCCGGTGGATACACCTAGTCCTATAATGCGCTAGCAGCAACTCCAGAGCAGTGAGGAAATTACATTCAAAATCCTCTACAGTTTCAGGGTGAAATAATGTAGGACCCACTTCCTTCTGAGCGAATTTGTATTCCTGCAAATTGATGACCAGCTCGGAGACGCTCGAGAGCAATGCACAGATGCTGCGGATGTTCCTCGACCACGACCAAATCGAGATTACCGAAAGGCTTGTTCATAAACTTTTAAAAGGTTTGGCCTGCGTTGCGTTCTATATTTTTGCTCCTTGACAACTCACACAAGGGGTGTCAACCCCCACAGTACCATCACTACCCGTTTTTGTAGATTTGCTCTCTAAAATATGCTACAGTTGTCAAAAAATCTGAAAAATTTATTTGCAAGGTCCAAATCAACTAATTTCACACTTTGAATTACCAGGTCAAGAAGGAAAAGGATTAGGATTAGGCCTAAAATTTTAAATTTGTTTACATTCTTCGACAAATTCCCAACCACTACATTCTGAAGTACCTTCCAACATTGACACTCTGAGCGAAAAAAATTGACATTGCCGTCATAACCGAATTTCACCTGAAGCCCCGTCTTCCTTCTGATTTCCGGCTCGTGTGGCTTGATCGAACCAGGAGAGGGGGAGTAGCCACCATTTTAAGGAGAAAAATCTATTGTCAGCCGATCCCAAGGTTCCAGCTGAAAACCGTCGAAGCCGTAGGAGTGGCAGTCTCAATTTCTGTCGGTCCTATTACCATCAATCCGGCCTATTGTCCTAAATAAGTCAACATCATTTATAATCCTGTTTCACATCATGGTTCTTATCTATGCCTGTTCAGATAAATCAGTACTTTAATTTATTTACTCTTCTGCGCTAAATCAAACGAGTAGAAATAAGAAGGGATGTCGGTTACGCACTCGAATAATTGAAAATTCGATAAATATTCTTCTGGAAAAATCTTAACGATTATTTTTTTTTTTTTGTTTATTAATTTATTTGATAAGGCTCAACCGAATTAACTTCACAGAGCCGAGGATTTTTGGTCACTATACAATACATCTTAAAACTATAGTCAAAAGGTACAACACAATAAACACTTTATCTTCCGCTATCCAAAAAGCCTCCTCCATCAGAACTGGAGCCGCTTCCAGTTGTTTCATTGTATGGCAAATTGTTGTACGCCAACGAGGGTCAGAGCGCGTCCATTGCAGCAATGGACGCAAAACGTGGTCAGCACTCACACACTCATCACGAAACGGTTGCTTTCCAAAGTCGACGACGCATCGACCGAAAGAACTGCTGATGAAGAACAATGAGGAGGACCACACAATGGTTGCTGCCGAGAAAACAGACGATCGCGTGGCACACATCGAGAGTGGCCTGCTTTTGTCGACAGCCGAGTGAACACTACTCTTAACGATTAATCGTTAATCGAATAATTGGACGTTTAGGCATCCCTAGAAAATAGGGTAATTTCATGTTTTTTTTGTGGTCCTTCGAAATGTCGAACAGCAGAATTGTAACCAGCAAGTGTATCCCAAGAACCAAAAGCGGTGCGATGCTAGTTTTCATTGCTATGACAACGACTAAATTAAGGAGCAGAGCAGAGGGGTGTAAGTCAATTCTCTTCGTCGATTTCCTCTTTTGATGACCATGGCTTCACTAACCTATTTCGCACTATTTCTGCTATGCTCTTCTATCATCCAGAACAACAAACGTATCAATGAATGTGTTTGCCGTCGAGTTATTAACGAAACAGAAAGTCGATGAAGAGAATCGATCAAAATCACTTGCATTCCGCTTCCAAGTTTGGTTACAAGATTACAACTCTGGAGAGCATTTTGTGTGGTCGTTGGGGGCGTGTGGTTCTGAATATAGCGATGACGCAGTGTTCGGAAAAACTCAAAAACTCAAATCTCATGCATGAGTTTATGCGCCTATGAGTTTTGCCTTGCAAAATTCAACGTCGCAAAAATCACCGATGAGTTTTCAGGTTCAAAAATTCATTGCTTTATATGTTTGCGTTATTCATTGTTATTACTATTGTTTGTGCATCAGGGGTTGCAAAACTAACACAACATACATAGGCATTATATCAATTGACGTTTGAGTGGTTTTTATGAGTTTAAAGCTGGAATGATTTTTCAGCGTTGTGAGTGTGAGTGCGTGAATATGTATAAGAATCTCAAGCGTGAATTTTACTTGCCACATACGCACGCGAGTTTATTCTCGCAGGGAGGCTCAATGAACGAGATTTGAGAATGATTTTCCGAACACTGGCGATGAGTGTGCAAAAGGTTACGCAATTGCATCCTCCTTATTCGCACACGCCCGAAGATCGGAAGCGAATGCCACTTCGACTTGTTTCGTCTAGAAACAATTTGTCTGATGATTGTGTAGGGGAAGCAGTATATGCTTGTACGTAATTGGTGGATTTGTTAGTTATGTCGACGTTTTTGAACAATACTTGACATTTACCACTTTTTCAATAGTTTCTTGTTAAAAATCAACGGTAAGAAGCATTGCTATCGATGCGAAGAAATATTTCTGAACGATTGGTGAAAAAAATTATTGAAATTGGTCCATGGGCAGCTGATGTTCCATTTTAGGTTTTCACAAAGTATGCCCCCATATAGAAATCATAGACGTAGTCCTACGTCAAAAAATCCGCTCTCTCACAGGTTGTATTCTGGAAAATGATCAGAATCTTAAAGAATGAGCCTAGGCTCAGTCTCTTGAGTTAGAACGAATTATTGAAGCCTCACGATGAAATGCAATCAAGATTTTTCTTGATATCTATCACCGAATGTTTAATACAATGAAAACGGATCTTAGTCAGAGAGTGACTCACTTGTACTCATTCGTATGGAGAAATTTTTAAAAGTGTAGGTCACGCAGCGCTGAGTAAGATTCTTTTTCAGTGTACGTGACAACTATGAATGCAAGGTAACATGAACAATTTCACCCCAGTGATCATTTTGTCTCGGGAATACGGTCATAAAACCGCCTAAGGCTATTAAAAAGAATTGGAGATGAACTAGCCAATTGGCTGAAAATATCCAAAGAGCATTCCCAGCCCAAAACGCAAACCGCTTGGACATGAGTACTTCCGATTTGAATGAAACATAACTCATATGTTCGCTGCTAACAATTTTTGCATTTTTCATTTAAATATCATTTTTTTTCTCCACAGTAACTTTTGAACAGGGCGTATTAAAAAAATGGATTAGATTTTTTTTTTAAATCATAACATGAAATGTTGACCTGATCAAAATGACATCTGAGCAGAAGTTGTAGGTTATTAAATTAACGACTGAATAAACACTTGATGCATTATTATTAAAAAACGTATAACGTTGATTATTTCAAAACACCCCGCTTCAGTCTTTATTTTTTTTATCAACAAAACTGAAGGAATGCCCTAAAATTTGGTGAGGAGTGTAGACTGGAAACTTGCTTTAAAAAAATCATTATTTTTTTTTAAATTTATGTTTTGTTTTCAAGCTGATGAAATTGCATATTCTTAGTAAAATATTAGAATATTTGGATTATAGGCATAATTTTCGATAAATTTGCACATACAAACTTTTTTCCTATGTCCAGTCGTTCTCAAGCTATTGCGAATTAATAATAAAAGTAATAATAATTTTCAACATTTTAGACCATTTTCAAGTGTTACTCGTTTTGTCTATGATTGTATATTAAAAACGAACAATTTATTCATTCTGAAATATGGTAGCTGTCAGACTTACCTATTTCTATTTAGACGCAGCGGAAGAGAAACACGTTTATAAGTAAATACTCTCCAATATACCCAAATAATCAACAAACCCCTAATAAACCTTTTTCAAAAGCTACTATGACCGGAAGGGGCCGTGATAAATTGACATTTTATTTAGCGTTTTTGGCTGGAAATAACATCATCTCCAGAGCTAATCGACAATTGGGCTTTATTTTCAAAATTGCCGACGAGTTTCGTGACCCGCTATGTCTCAGGTCACTTTACTGCTCGCTTGTGCGATCTTTATTGGATAAAAGTTCAATTGTTTGGTGCCCTTTCCATGCTAGCTGGATCACTAGAATTGGATCCGTTCAACGCAAGTTTGTGAGATATGCTCTTCGTTTCCTCAAATGGCGTGACCCAACGAAATTAATCATGTTTTGTTGTTTTTGACATCATCCACTTCCAAAGAGCCAGTCACTTCGAATGTATGGGAATGTTAGGAAACCATTTGAAAATGCATGAAAAGTTTCAGTTGTTATTCATTATCGTCTTTATGGGCAGTTTTAGGTGCACAAAAATTGCACGAGTACATTACTATGGTGATAAGGTAAACACTCGTTTATTTGTTTCCTTCTGTGAAAGCATGTTTAGTCATAAATCGTGGATTTTCTGATATTCTCCATACTGCAAAAATGATTTTCCTACCACTGAAGGGGCGACATCTCTCGGATCTTCAGTATAGCTACTACTCAAATCATATAATTCGACAGTGCATAAGGGCCTATACGCGATGATCGATTCTCTTCGTCGATTTTCTCTTTTGTTAATAACTCGCTAGATTTAACGTTTCTCGGTGCGTTTGCTGTTGCTTTTGATAGCCAATACAACCTGTTACTACTCTGCATTGAACAAATTCTAGAAAATTGTTTCGCCTAGCTGTAGCAATGCAAAGAGAAAATCGATGAAGAGAATCGATCATCGCGTATTCGCCCTTATGAATGCTCACTGTCGAATTCATATGTTCGCTGGAAAGCTGCTTACGGGTGACATTGACTGTCCAACACTGCTGTCACATGTATGCCCCTGAGAGGTCTCTTCGTCAACGCGACTTTCTGTTTTTGGAACCACGAAGCCTGAATTATACACAACACGAGCCAATTCGAGCAACCAGCCGGCAATTCAACAACTTTTTTTTATATGTTCGACTTCAATGTATCAGCTGACGTGTTTCGTCATCGGCTACTTGGCCTTTTCCGTACCGTTGACCGTAACTATTTAGTTTAAGTTTTATTCATTTAGACAATAATTGTCAGTGGAATTTTTCAATAAACAATAAACAATAAACAATAATGAAGCTTTAAAAAAATTAAATACAAGAAACATTCCGATATGAAATTTGATTTAATAGGTAGGTATATGAAAATATAAATGATTTTTATCTAATTTGTTAAAAATTATAGTAGCTTTTGAATCATTTGAATTTTAAGACGTTTAAAATAGGAAGAAGTTAAAAACGTTGATTATTTCATTCATACTGGACTCAAGGACTGAATTGCAGGCAAAATGGTATTTTGAGAAGAATCTATGGATAATCACTGTTATTTCTATCTGAGCTGAAATCGTATATATTCGGAAGTAACGAATCTATACATTATGTGTTGTTCTACCTGGAGAAAACATCTTAAATAAAAACTGGCAGCACCACGAAAGCAAACATGGAATGATATTGACATGAAGGCGAAAAATGTGCGGTATTCCAACACCATTGGATGATAATGCAATTTTCCATACAGTTGCTACTCACCATCCTTTTTCCGGGGCTGACGATCGACGCCGTCCTGATATGGTTGCTGCTGCAGTTGAATTGTTTTTCCCTTGTCGGTATGAATCTTAATGTTATCAAACGGTCTCCATCGGCTCGAAGCCGCCTTTTCCTCTCCCGGCGAAGGTTGCTTCCCGTGCTGCGAGGTCGTACCCGTCGGTGGTGTATTATCTAGAATTTTATTATCCTTTTGGTGAAAGTGCAAATGGCCCTTGTGCATAAGGTGATCCGTTATCAAGCCTGAGCCCGACTTGCTCTGAGAGCTCCCACTACTTCCGTTGCTTCCGGTGCCACCAGAAGGGGATGTACCTTCACTGGTTCGTTTCTTGAATAGTAACTCAATGCCGGCATCCAGGAGATTGCGTCGCTTTCCGTGCTCAGATGACGAGGAAGCGTGCAGCCTGGACTTTCGAGACTCGGTTTGAACTTTAATGTTGGGTGAAATTATTAGCATACTACTGGGCTTCTGATCGCATACTGATGACAGGGAGAACGAGCACATGAGAAGAAAAGATGCAAATGGTCAAGGAGGGTAGATATTTTCCACCAACAACTAAATGTTAGTTATTCACCTAAACGAAAAATAATTTCACAGCTAAACTAAAAATTTACACACACAGCAAAAAAAAATGTAATATCGATCAACGTAATTCAAGCTGATGTATGAAATAATGATGTAAAAGCAAAAAGCAGATACAATATTACATCAATGGCTGTAATTTTGTTCGCAAAATCGATGTACATCGTACAATGTGATATTACACAACCGATGGATTGACCTGGTTGCAGCAGTTTCGATGTAATATTCAACAACTTTTTTTGCTGTGCACGAAAACATTAAAAGTAAAGTCGAATCACAATTTTGTTACTCACTGTTCAGTTAGCTGTGGAGCCTGACACGATGTAAAATCAAAACAAACTGATGCATCCAGCACCAATACAAACGTAAACAGGTACAAAACGGAAGCAACAGAACATGAAAACAAAACAACTTCACCTGACCAGAGCGAGAAGGTAGGCGCTTTACCGACCCTACAACTGGAGAAGGTGCAGAATAATGAAACGAAATGAATGCATGCCAAAGCAACAAGGAAGTGTGTAATAGCCAATTCGTACAACAGTGAGACAATGTATAGCCAATCGCCCATATCACTACGTACCAATGCTGAGTCCGAGTGTTTTCGGCTCGTCCAAGGGATTTTCCAGCAAACCACTATCGAGAAATTTGTCCAGATCGCCATGTTGAAGGTACAGGATAGTAAGGAATCTTAAATATTCAATAGACAGAGCATTAAAATAGAACTTTTCGTTCATCGTGCCCATTTGACTCACCCGATCAGGAATCCAATCAGCCCAATTAGGATTGCAATGAACCAAAACAGTCCAAAGACGTTGATGGAAACACCCACACTGAGAACGATCCAGCTGGCATATTTGAACTCCATTTCGTTTAAATCCACTGCTGCTAGCTTGTCGACAAACTAAATCATCGCGGTTACAGTAATATCACCAGTTTAAAGTTGGTTTCAGTTGGAAAAATCATAATTTTACACGAAGGCAAAACAAAAGCTCGAACAACACTCCTTTTTTCGCTTTTTTCACAGAGAATAGTAAAATGTTTTGACAGTTTGTTTGCTTCTGTTGACAGCTTTCAAAACCTCATGCAAAATAAATGGTGGCCCACAAGGCTATCAGCTGTTGACAGTGAAGGAACTGAATGGAAGAACTTGTGGTTTGATGCCGAAACCCACCACCAGAGGAATACATATGAAAAACACGGTCGATTTGTTTTCCTTCGATCTTCCGTACTGAGTACCAAAATGCTACCGACGCCAGGGAGGCAGCCTCCACACCTCGACCCTACACTAATAAAAATTTAATGATTATTTTTATGTGTCACACACACAGAAAAAAAAGTTGTGGAATATTACATCGAAACTGCTGCAACCAGGTCAATCCATCGGTTGTGTAATATCACATTGTACGATGTACACACTTAGTTTTTTCTACCGAGCTCGGCTGTGCAAATCTCGGCAAAAATTGTTTTACTGGGATCTCAGCAAACATTTCATTTGTTTGCTGAGATTCAGCTAAGCATTATCCGAGACTCAGCAATCAAATGTCACTTTTGCTGAGATCTCAGTGAAACTTTTTTTGCCGAGATTTGCACAGTCGAGCTCGGTAGAAAAAACTAAGTGTGTACATCGATTTTGCGAACAAAATTACATCCATTGATGTAATATTGTATCTGCTTTTTGCTATTACATCATTATTTCATACATCAGCTTGAATTGATCATTTTAGATGGTCAAGTTTTGAACCCACCACAGCATGCTTTTAGCGCTACTGTATATGGACGATTACATGTAAAATACTGTGGTAGCCACAGCATAGTTCTGTCAAAACCTCAGCATTTTCATTGATCCATTACGTTGATCGATATTACAATTTTTTTGCTGTGTATCGAACCATCAACTCATGGAGCGGGGACCAACCGCTTTACTTTCTTTTCCGGGAAAACAGATGCAAATTTGTGTTATTAGCGTCGTTTTGCCGTTTCTGCCACTGTTCCTCATACCGGTTTCTTTGTATGTTCGGTGTCGGAGGAGGACCCGGAATGGATTCGGAATGGATGGCCGTTTTCTGTTGAGGTTGAGCAAAGCTGGGGCAACTTTTTCCGAATGTAACAAGAAGGAAATGAAAACGCATGACACGCTAAAAACCGTTTACCCAAATCCTATATTCCTAAACATGCTCTTGAATTTAATTAAAACATAAATATTTTAGTTTTAAACATGCTTTCATTTTACTTTGAATAATTCAGATGTTTAGAGTATATTTTTGTTTTAAATGAACAAAATTTGTATCCGTGTGGGAAGCGGTACAAGCAACAATCAATACGAAACTAACGATTTTAAATTGGCTCGCTACTTGACTAGCCTATTGGTCCCAAGCAAATCGATTAACCTACCCCATTCTAGTCAAAATTCTAGTACTACACAATGTTTGTTTTGATTTGCTATGAAAGTTTGACAGATAAAATGAGGGGTTAGTGGATTTTCCTATGTTTCGAGGGGTGAATCGATTAGCTTGGGACCGAAGATAGTACCAGAGCTGAGCCAAAAAGTTGAGCTCGTTTCTTCGGGACCTTCTAGTCTTAGAGTTACCTACACGCAGAGAAAAGATTTTTAAAATCAAATGGATATAGTTTTGGCTCAGGGCCTAATATATTTGTGGTATTGATTGAAATACATTATTCGGTTAATTCAAAGAAAAATATTTTTGAATCAACCAACCGGTTGTAGAGTCAATATTCTGTTTCTTGATTTTAAAAAACCATTTTATTTTAACCCAGGGAAGTGTATTAGGGCCTCTTTTATTTATTATGTATATTAATGATTTGCGACGCGTTTTACGATTTTGCGACATTAATCTTTTTGCAGATGATACTGTGTTATTCATTGCAGCTAAGGATTTAGAAGTTGCCGTCTCACATTTGAATGAAGATTTGCGTTCTCTAAGTAGATGGTTGAAGTGTAAGCAGTTGAAATTAAATACAAGTAAAACTAAATTCATGGTAATTTCGCGGAACCGAGTAAATGATAATGTCTCCGTGGTAATTGATGATGAGGCTATTGATCGCGTTCGGGAGATTAAATATCTTGGCGTGATTATTGATGACAAACTTAAGTTCAACTCTCACATTGACAATGTCATCAAGAAAATTGCCAAGAAGTATGGAATTCTATGTCGACTGAAAAACGATTTAACTATTGCCAGTAAAATACAGCTATACAAATCAATCATCTCTCCTCATCTAGACTTTTGCCCATCCATTTTATTTCTAGCCAATGAAACACAAATATCGAGATTACAGCGTTTGCAGAATAAAATAATGCGTTTGATTTTGCGATGTAATAGATTCACTTCCTCAACTTTGATGCTGGACGCTTTAAAATGGCTGTCAGTGAAGCAAAGAATAGTTTATTTGACTATGGTGTTCATTTTTAAAGTAGTAAATGGTTTGCTGCCTCGATATTTGTGTGATCGAATTGAAAGAGGAAGTGATTTTCATAGATATAATACTAGAAACGCGGATGAAATAAGAACACCACATTTCTTGACTTGCGCTTCACAGAATTCATTGTATTTTAAAGGAGTAAATGTTTTCAATTCGATGCCTAGACATATTAAACGTGCAACAACATTAGCAGAATTCAAGAGACATTGTATTTCACACGTTAAAACTGTCTTTTGAACAGTTATCCAGTGATTTTTATTTTTTTTTTTATGAATGGACGAAGTATGTATCTTGACGAAGTTATTTATAACGGATTATTTTGTATGGATAGCTGTCATAACGACTTTTTAATAATTATTGTAGCACTGCAAAAACTATTTTGTTCGCCACGATGGTGATGATGGATTTTTTTTTTATATTTGAATTAAAGTAGTAGTTAAAAAAAAAAAAGTAGTAGTCTACAAAGGTTTGAGCCTCGCGCGCGTATTACGGATATAGAGGACTGAATTTAACATTTGATAAAAAAAATGCAACTTTGAAGCTTATTTGGAAGATACTTTGAGTTAGTATTAAGTTTTCTGGCTGAATGTCGGGGGTTCGTGAGCATTCCTGACATTGCTGAAAATTATAATAGCATCATTGCGGGGTTGCTAGTGTATAGGATGCTTTGTTGATTGTTCATTAACTCTTGATTGCTTGTAATACTTATGAATATTCTAGGTGGACAAAAAGGCGAACTAAGAGGTGGACGCCTAAGCTTTTTCACATTTATGTATATTGCTGTGAAGCAACTGTAAAGTCTAGAGGGAATTTATATCTGTAACTGTAACCAGCTCGTTTTTGTTTGCTAACCTGGTTAAAATGTTTATATTTAATTATCTTAAAGATAAATCGTCCAGCTCAAACCTTTGTAGGGGTAAGAGGTGGGACCATCATCATCATCATCATCATTATTGATTCAAAAATATGTTTGTTGAAATAGTGATACAAATGTTTGAATCAATAATAAAATACATTAGGCTCTGAAACAAAAATCCATTTTTCTGCGTGTAGTCAAGTAGTGAGCCAATTTAAAATCGTTACTTTCGTATTGATTGTTGGTACGATCATTATCATGGATGATACAGGTAGGAAATTTGTCAAAATATAGAATATGTGAATCTTCATTGCAATGTCATGGCGAGTTGATGAAAATGCGGTTTTTTATGCTCCGATATTATTAAGATTATGCTTTGTATGATTTCAGATTCCCATCCCGAAATCGACGTTCAAGTCAGTCTGGTGGATGTACTAGATTACGTTGGGGATTCCGTGCGACCTATACGAGAGGGACTAGCGGTCTTACAGGCCCAGCATATTATGTGTCTTGGCTACACCGAAAGGGTTTGTCCTGCAAAATTCATCTAAAATTACCCAACGACATCAAACTTTGGGACTTGACCTGTTCTTGTAAAGCCGGAACCAAAAGGTGCAAGCATATAATTGCCCGTCTTTTGCAAATTAGCCAGTGAGTATAGTCTATTTAAAAGATTATTTATATGCTGTATTTATGCTATCGTTACAGGTTTAAAACCTTGGAATACATATCCCTGCACGAATGCAACGCAGGCTTGAGGCCACTCAAAAATTGGAAAAAACAACCTTTGGGGTGCTCGTCTGAACCATGGTTCAGGAAATGTGCTGTGTACGAAAAGCAAAGCCACTGACCAGCGTTGGCGACGCATTCAGAGTAAACTTGTTGTCTGGTGCATTCGATTTGGCATAAGTTTGGTGTTCTTCAACCTCGAGTGTGTTGTTCGTTTGAAGATCTGCAGCAGCTGGTATTGAGTAGTGATTGCATTACAGCAACAGATGGGACTGGTCCCACGTTTTTATCTCTAGAGGATCAAGAGTTTTATGAAAAGGTTGTGTCCGTTACGCAGGGGGATGTTTTGCGAATTGCTGTTGAGACGGCGGCTCAGAATGGATCATTGAAGATGCTGAGGTTTTGACAGCACCGTACTGTGGCTACCACAGTATCACAGTATTTTACATTGGTTCGTCCGTATACAGTAGCGCCAAATGAAAGCTGTGGTGGGTTCAAAACTCAGCCATCTAAAATGATCCATTGAGAAATCCAACTTAAACTCATCCCAACAAACATTGATAGTTAAATAAGAGCTTATAAAGGCAAAATTATGCTTCTTCAGCTAAAATATAGCTTATTCAGCTTTTAATCAGCTCAAATTGTTTGTTGGGATGCGCGCCTGGTGGCAGGGATAAACACTAACCGACGGTGATAAGTCTGTGACAGCCCTTGAAAATTTCATTGATTGTTTGCAAAATTATTTAATTTCAATGTAATTTCATGAAAATTTCTTGTCAGCATGGATGAATCTTGTACAAAATGCATAAAACTATTTTGTAATGCATTGTTCTAAAATAAAAAGCTACTTCAAGACTTATAAATTACTGAAAACATGTTAAGGTTTGAAATCATCTGCCGATTAAACAACAGACAAAGTTGGCCGACTAAATCAATCGACGAAAAACTATTAAATAGGCCGATTGCTCGATGTAGCACCAGACGAAA